GTTACTATCTTGTTGGGTAATCTTAGAACTTTTGTAATACTGTTTTTCGTGAATTAGTATGTGGTTCCTTGAACTTGTTTGCTNGTGAAGTGAACTTTAAATGAGATTCTTGGAATGTTTGTATGGGGACACTTTATGGCTGTGCTGTTACACTTGTGACCATTTTAGTGCTATCAGTTTTAAAATATTGTCTCCTTTGCCACTCTAGATGTTACTATCTTGTTGGGTAATCTTAGAACTTTTGTAATACTGTTTTTCGTGAATTAGTATGTGGTTCCTTGAACTTGTTTGCTCAATTTCTAAATAATGTTTGAGGTTATATAATAAATTAGAAAACTGGTAATGATTAGTGTGTTTAAAACTGGAGGTCAAATTCCTCATTTGTCGAAGAAACTCCCATCACTTATGAGTTAATCCCCAAGTATTGGCAGATGATCCAATAGATATATTTTTGATAATGACAGTTTTGATGAGTATCCAACTAACTGGCTTACTAGTAATCGTTATATGTAGTAGTAATCGCACCATATTTATTATATGTTTTTGTTCATAGCTGCTTCACTCTTACCCCGCAATTCATATTCAGCATCCACCATGTTTCTACCACGAGTCAATCATGATATCCATTACTTTGATAATAATTTAACTCCAAGCGGACGGTTTACCCTTTGACTATACGCTAATGAAAAAAATAATATTGAAAGCTAAAGCCGGAAACCAGCAATAACAGTAGCAAAGGTAAACAAGAATTCATATATCCCAACACATTGCCATCACAGGTTTTGTCGGTAAAAAATTGCGAAGATAAATCGTTTGAGTGCGCAGTCGGACGTGTGGGCGGCATATCAATCACACGTCGCGACTCACGATTTTCTGAGCAAGTGACACGTATCCAAAACTAATACTTTACGCTAACCGATAGGTAATTAGATTTAGATTACGTCAGAGCTCTTTTAGGCGATCAAGTATGCGTCGATCGGACGAAGAAAATACATTATAAAATTATTAGGCACTGTCATTTTATTTACACTGACCTGGAAAGTGTCTGGCAAGAGGAAGAGAGGTCGCCCCAGAACAACTTGGCGTCGCTCGGTGGAGCAGGAGCTAGGAGTCTTGAACATGGCGTGGGAGGAGCAAGAACAGACTGCCCAAGACCGATGCAAATGGAAAAAATTTATTCGAGCCCTACACCCCAGCAGAGGGTAATAGGAAAGAATGATGATGATGATGATGTCATTTTATTTAAAGTGTTTTTTATAGATTATACTGTGCTCCTAGTGCGCGAGTGCTTATAAAAATATATATTCGCCACTCCTAATGTTTGTCTAATTTTTTTAAGAACAAAGGATTACCGCTGCCCCGATCGCCTTTCCAGTTTCACCAGGACAGGTGGGCGAGCAAAGGCTCAGTCAGAAGGGATGGGATTTGCTAACAGTTGTCCGAGCGCCTCCAAAGGAGACCTAACAACTCAATAGCCGCTGCCTTTGCGAATTAATCTACTACCGGATCGGAGTCGTGACCCGCTGAGAAGATTCGGCAAGAAACTCAGCGGGATGATGTATGGGTTGCGTTGCACGTCGAACTCTTTGACGATTTCGACGAATACGGTTACCGGAGTCCCTAAGCCTGCTCCTAGTGTTAGAGAGGAAAGCGTCTAGTGCTGAGGTTGAATCTTTGTCTAATTTTTGACTGCTTTACAGTCTAATGTTTTTAAGTATTTTAGGGACTAAAGTACTTAACGTATGCTAAAATAAATTATAATGTGAAGCTGATGAAGATTCGGAGTCAATGGTGGCCAGTCTTCAGTCCTGATAAAGTCATAACCGTTTCTTTACATACACGTTTGTATGGTTCGACTATGATAACCCGGTCGTCAGTCATGCTGAAAGAAGCATTATTTTATATAGTACAGGGTTATTTGGGGCCGGATGATAGTGCGAGACTTTTCCCCAGTTATTATTACTTTTCAGTAGATTGTTGCCCAATAGTAGAAAAAAGATCGTAAATTTAAACCAATGTATAGCAAACCGACCTGTACGTCACTCTCGCGGCCGTATGCCCGCCCGCTATACATAGTTTTATTTATCTATATTCGTCTTTTGACAGATAATTAGGTTTGTTTCCGGTGGCTTCCGTTTTAAGTGTGAGTTGCGTGCGCCCGCGTCTTATTGTAATTCTCGTTTGTCAGGTCAGACAGCCCAGCCGACGGAGCCTTCGAGGCGAATCGAAGGCTCTGAAACGTCGGCCGTCTCGGTGCAGCAGCCCGTCGGGCCGCCCGGACGGTGCCGCTGGTGTCCCGGAATACCCCGCTGGACCAGAACCAGCCTGCCGGGTCGGGACGCGATACACCGTCGACCAGTCGCTCTATTTACTCCACGGCAGCGCGCTAGAGTGCTGGTAGCGTGCCGCGCGGCCTCTGCCCTCTCAGGTCGCCCCTTGACCTTCACCGGGGGGAGGCCGCTATCTAGAGGGGCCGGGACGTACGGGCGTATTCCCGCCTCCGGCCCCTGGGAGTCCTGACTTTTTTTTTTCGGGTAGAGGGCCGAACCTCCTACGAGGTCCCCGCGCAAAAGGGGCGCGCGGGGTATGTGAGACTCAACGGTCTGCATGGTGTTGTGAGCAGACCGCGGGCCCAAGGATTTTAGGACCCACCCACTAAACGACTCCCCTGCACTCTTACACCCGACGTCCGATCCCCTCCGAGGTCAGAACCCGGATGANAAAAAAAAAAAAAAAAAAAAATAAAAAAAAAAAAAAAAAAAAAAAAAAAAAAAAAAAAAAAAAAAAAAAAAAAAAAAAAAAAGTAGATCGTTGCCCAATAGTAGTAAAAAGATCGTAAATTTAAACCAATGTATAGCAAACCAACCTGTATGTCACTCTCGCGGCCGTATGCCCGCCGGCTATACATAGTTTTATTTATCTATATCCGTCTTTTGAAAGATAATTAGGTTTGTTTCCGGTGGCTTCCGTTTTAAGTGTGAGTTGCGTGCGCCCACGTCCTATTGTAATTCTCGTTTGTCAGGTCAGACAGCCCAGCCGACGGAGCCTTCGAGGCGTTCGATTCGCCTCTGAAACGTCGGTCGTCTCGGTACGGCAGCCCGTCGGGCCGACCGGACGGCGCCGCTGGTGTCCCGGAATACCCCGCTGGACCAGAACCAGCCTGCCGGGTCGGGAAGCGATACACCATCGACCAGTCGCTCTATTTACTCCACGGCAGCGCGCTAGAGTGCTGGTAGCGCGCCACGCGGCCTCTGCCCTCTCAGGTCGCCCCTTGGCCTTCACCGGGGGGAGGCCGCTACCTAGAGAGGCCGGGACGTACGGGCGCATTCCCGCCTCCGGCCCCCGGGAGTCCTGACACCTACCCCTCACTAATGTTTTTAACTTTAGCAGTATTTATGGTTAGATTACAACTATCCTTCATTCCAACTAAATGATGCACCAGAATAGTTTTTAGGAAGCCTAAAGACAACCAATGAGCCAAATGATGAAGGTTTCCGCATTATCCACGTTATTTTAAGAAGCCATTTTCCCTTAACATTTGATCAGTACAACGGGACTAAAGATATAGCTGGGAGTTTTACAATTTGAGTGATGTCTTTTTTTTATAACTTAGATGGGTGGACAAACTCACAGCCCACCTGGTGTTAAGTGGTTACTGGAGCCCATAGACATCTACAACGTAAATGCGCCACCTAGAGATATAAGCTCTAAGGTCTCAAATATAGTTACAGCGGCTGCCCCACCCTTCAAACCGAAACGCATTACTCCTTCACGGCAGAAATAGGCAGGGCGATGGTACCTTCTCGCGCGGACTCACAAGAGGTCCTACCACCAGTGAGAAATGTGATAAATGGAGTACTAAATGACTACTGGTAAAAGCATATTGTGATCTAGCATGAGATATACCGTCTGTTTCTACAGAGAAACAGGTATGTGATAGTCGTTACACAGTATTGAGACTGTGACCTCAAGTCTCAAGATGTGCGGCGATATTCACGTTATATTTATGAGCTCCAGTAACCTCTACACTTCAATTAGCTAGTTAGTTCATCATATTCGTATATTGTTAAACTGCTTAATAACAAGGCAATTAAAGTAAGCCATAGTTCAATTAACCTTAATGATTCAACGCCATATTGGTTACTGTCCCCTGTGTTATTATTTTATCATGTTGCGGTAATCAACGCGGAGAGTGATGATTTTAGTAATAACTCAATTAATGGACTATGAGTAATAATTCAAAATCGAAAATTCTTTAGAACAAACTGTTAATAGGATTTTTATACACATTTATTGATTAGGTTAAGCGTCGCTTAAAGCTTAATATCTAATCATTATTATGCCAATCGTCCGTCGTACAGTTTATCGTAATGATTTTCAGAAAATTTTGGTCCTGTTTTGTCTGCCAATTTAGTTTTTTCATAAGCACAGGTTTATTCTTTTACTAGTTTTTGTCCGCGACTCCATCCGCGTAGAATAGTTACTTTGGCATAACGCTAAATTTTACCACCCACTTCATTTACGTAGAAAGTGAAAATATTTTTGAATTATAGAATGTTAAGGAGCTATTTAAACCCCTATTTTGAACCATTCTTTATTGGTGCTCCACTTGTATTGGTTTTACCGTGATGTTATATATAGCCTGTAACCTTTCTCAATAAATGGGCTATCTAACACTGGAATAATTTTTCAAATCGAACCAGTAGTTCCTGAGATTAGCGCGTTAAAACAAACAAACTCTTCAGCTTTATAATAGTAGTATAGATAATGCGTTGACATAAGTGTTTATTGGAACTTAATTCATCTGTTTATCGGCAGGTATTTTAAACCGGAATGTGTGACTACGTCGCGGCAGCTGTACACATCATTGTACCTAGCCGTGCGGGCTTACAATATCCTACTATTATCCTCTGCATACTTAAAACTTTATTCAACACCTTAAACTGCTGAATTAAATGTCACTTAAATAAAATTAATTTAAATCAGAAGTAGGTACTTACAAAATTGTTGTTCAAAACGTGTCTTTAACTTGCTCACAAAAGATTAATAGCTGTTTCAGAATTACGCTCAGGAAGCACACGCGTATATGAAAATATCACATAACACGTACACAATTATTTCCATGTATATTATTATCGTTTTACACACACGGTATCACCTTCCTTGAGGTAATGGTGCGCGAATGATATTCCCGTTCCGAGCACAAAGAATGCCTTGTAAGTGATATCATTCACTTTAAGGAAAATGTCGAGAGAATTCCAACTATAATTACGTCGAGGGCCGTCACATTAAATAAATAGTATTAGGTGAGATTATTTTTGTACATGACATACAAGTAGATTAGGGTTTTATTTATAATTTGAATAAACTATCAATTTATGATACTTAATGTATTTTGGAAAATTCTTTCACGAAACCAAGGATCGCAGCAGATGAAGGGATATCGCACGGTAAGAGATTGATGCAGTGAGGGAGTTACGACCCTCAGTAATGAGGCAAACGATACTTGGAGGAGGATTTTGGAAAATTGAAAGAATTAAAGGCAGAGGAATCCCTCTGCTGGTCAATCAAAGACGGTACAGAGAGAGTTGATTTTAAATAAATTTAAAATAATTGATTAGTAGAGGACGAGCCACACGCTTGAACGAGTCCGTTATTTTGAAGTATAGTTTGAACACTACAGTTGGTGCATTTGATAAGGACATTTAATATAAAGGTCTTTTTAATTAAGAGCCCTCGAACTTAAAAATAAAAGAAAAAGACCGGTTTATGTGATATTTCCACAATTTGTATTTTATTTTAAAGGGAATTCGATGACATTCTGTGGATATAATTTCGGCCAAATTGCCTTGCGACTCTGCTGTTGTTGGTTTATCCTGGTGGATCAATTTTGTATGACATCTTCACATAAATGGGGCTCTATTTCACGAAGAACGCTAGTTATATTGGCCTTCAGGGCGGCAATAGACTGTGGTTTGTCTGTTAGAGATTTCTCGTAAACCCCACAGAATGTAGTGGAGCAGTGTTAAGTCACACGATCTCGGTGGCCAGTTGATGTCAACACAACGGGAGGTGACGATATCTTCGAATTTCTCATTTAATAAATTTAATGTTTCCCGTGCTGTATAGCAAGTGGCGCCACCCTGTTCGAACTATATGTTTGTGAGATCCATACCATCTATCCTAGGCCACAAAAAGTTTATTATCATCGTCCGATATCGGTCGCCATTGACAGTGAGCGCGGCTTCTTGCACATCTTCGAAGAAATGGGCCGATGATACCGCCGGACAAGCGTGTAGCGTTCCATGGTGAAATGTTATGACTAAAGATGTGTTCATGCACATTCAGGCAAATTCCTGGGTAAAGAGGCCCTTCGCGTGGTTGTCTGCAGCCTACCTATTTCAGCCGGGAAGCAATCGATTTGGAGAGATTAAGTTACACTGGTATTTTTCACCGAGAACGATATTTGTTAATGTGATAAATTATCAAATAATAACGAAAATAACCTTTCTAAGGCCAATTTATTTCTGAACAAGACAAGAATGATCAAAATCAAAACTATCATTTTAAGTACGCAGTAAGTTCTTAATCTGGTGAAGCGCACCATCAACCGAAGTGATGACCACGACCACTCTGCCAAGAGTGCATACGACTGAGAAGAAGAAGTTAAAAGAATCGCCCAAACAAGTCTTCATATTTCAAAACATTAATTATAACGTAAACTCAAATCTCATATTTTTGTACGTACAAAAGTTACGGCACCATTGCTCTGATAATAAAAAACGAAACGATATTTCAAAAGTTAATGCGCACGAATATAAATGAAAAGTACTCGTTAGTTATATAACCACGCGGTACAGTCGCGAACAGCGCTCTGCCTCTTGGAATACCTGCTTACGCTGATTCAACATGTGTAGTGTAGCCGTAAACAAAACGTCACCGACAATGCGAACAGAAAGTACAAAGCTAAATGTGGACATAAGCTCTGTAGCAATAGTTTGTACCGCATTTGTACGGGACACTTTGATTCGTTCTATTTGTTTGCACAATCGCGAGGTGTAATTATGTTCGTGAATGTAATTCAAATTTTCTTTCGAGTTAACTTTTCTGTGGAGATCGTTGTCTTGTGATTTTACTGCAATTTAGACCAGTAAGCTAAACCAGGAAGTCGTAAAGGATTTTTTATATATGGGCTCCATGATACCCAGTAACGGATCCTGCGAGAACGACATCAAAAGACGCATTGTTATGGCAAAGAGTGCTATAGTCCAAATGGACCGTGTATGGGCTGATAGAAACAATTCGAGGAAGATCAAGAAGTAGCATCGTCACCTCTCTCGATTTTTCTAGTTTACTTTATGACGCAGAGATTTGGGCCTAGCAAAAGCAGTGCTTCGCTGAATCTACTACCGGATTGAAATCGCAGCCCACTGAGAAGAATCGGCGAGAAACTCATTGGATTGTGTGTTTATGGGCTAGGAAGACAACTTAGAATTGAACACATGTGTAAAGCTCTGTCAATGTTTCAATGACATCAAATACACAACTTATATGTAGAACATGAACAAACAAACAAACATATTGTTACGCCGGTAAGAGTAATGCCATCTATCGCCGAATAGCCGAACGAATATCGAATGCCGCTTGAGAAGTTCAACGCCATCTATTGTCAAATAGCGGAAGCACACATCGAAAGTACTCGACTTGTGAGGAATGTTCTCGACGATTCTAAGGGTGTCGTATCGACTATAAATGCTTTGCGGAGATGGCATGCAGACAGTTGGTAATCAGAACTACTCGAAGCGAAACAGCGAACGGATCACTTGAAGCGAAGCGGAAGAAGTGAATTGAGAATTTTAAAGTGTTTGTGAAGTGTTCTAAATGTTGAATACAGTTTTAATTTGTACTTTGGTGGAACTTTTATTTATCCCGAACCCCCAGCGTGTAACAATACATACATTTTCACAAAAAAAAATCATTAATACCGTTCAATGATTTCCACAAATCATTTTATTGTCAACTTCATCCTTTCAAACTAAGCTAAGCCGATCGCGATTTCCTTTACGGTTAGATAATAAGGTCGTTCAGACGGCAGTGTTCGCACTTTGTGAATCCTCTTAACAATGTGAGCCAGCCATCTACGTATTTGGTCTTCTTTCCCGATCAGAGGGCTTTCAGCTCCGCCATCCAAAATTTTAACGAGCTGCTGAAAGTTTGACGATTCGAAACGTTCAATGTGTTGAATTTAACTGTGAGTGAATACGTTTCCAGAGTTAATGTTAATAAGTTAAACCTATTTCTGCCGTGAAGCAGTAATGTGTTTCGGTTTTAAGAGTGAGGCAGCCGTTGTAACTATACTTGAGACCTTAGAACTTACATATCAAGGTGGATGGCGCATTTACGTTGTAGATGTCTATGGGCTCCAGTTACCACTTAACACCAGGTGGGCTGTGAGATCGTCCACTCATCTAAGCAATAAAAAAAAATATGACTGTTTTTCTTATAAGATAAGCACTTTGTGCATTCCTTTAATTTACCTTGAATTAGTTGTGTCTAAATGTGATTAATATTTAAATTTCATTTATTTTAAAACAAGCAGTGCGCTTTATAAAGTATTTTACAGGATGATTATTGGAACGAAGTTCCTTATCGCGCGTTGTGAAAGGGGGCTAGACGGAAAAAATTCTTACGAAAAGTTGTCACGACACTTTTTAGATCCGTCATTCTGACCAATCAACGTGTAGGCGCTTATCGCGTGACATTGCTCGTATCCGATTGGTCCGCGTAATGAGTACAGTTTCTCGAGATAGCCTTTCAATAATAGTAATTTAGTTCATAGTATTGTTTTTTTCTTCTTCATAATGCCGTAATTTATTATTATAACTCTGAAGTTTTTTATATTATAGTGCGCTGAAGGAAAGTATATTTCTTCGAAGCATTCATTCATTCAATCATAGTAGGCGTTTATCTATACATATAAATAAAATTGGAGTGTCTGTTTGTAATATTGAAATAACCTCCTTTTACTACATGCATATGAATATATTATATACGGTACATACACCAAAATAACATTTTTTACAATTTTTGTCTGTCTGTCTGTTTGTTCCAGCTAACCTCTGGAACGGCTAGACCGATTTTGACGAGGCTTTCACTGATAGGTAGCTGATGATATAAGGCTTAGGCTACTTTATTTAAGACTAGCTTCGCCCCGCGGCGTCACCCGCCATACGACAATAACCGCGGGTAACATCGCGGGACTCAGGTATCAATAATAAAATTTAATGTTTCCGAAGCGAAGGGAGGGCGGGTCGCTAGTACATAATATAGTTGAAAATTTTTTTAACATAGCTCAGTATGGATAGTTACATTCTAAGCAGTATAGAAAAGCAGCCCGCCATGAAAAGTCATACATACATGGTTCGCCCTGATTAATATTAAACCAAAACTTCTTGCTCAAATCTACCTGTGACGAGAAGGAATGATCAACATAAATTAACAAATTCACCAGGTGTATTAAACTGAATGTTTAGACGTGTATAAGTTTTTGAACGTAAATAAAAACTTTGAAACAACAACACACTGTAAACGATGCCATTATAAACTTTTCCGTTGCTTTCACAAGACACGCCTCATATTAGGTAAGTAAATGCTTACGTATAAGTGAAATATGCGGCTAAGTTGGATTCCGTGATGTCGAAGCGCTCCCAAACGAATACTTTTTTACGATGCTCATAATGTTAGTGAGCTAAAATACAAAATTATTAGACTTTTATTGGAGATCGCAATAATAGCTACCTATCCAAGTTCCGTTTAAGGGGTTTTTATATTGAATTTATGCTTCTGTAAGAATTACGATTGTTCCGCACTGCGGTATACCCGGATATAGCCGAGTAAAGCATAATCTCTGACCTGTCACCGCATCCGTTCTTATTATGAGCTTATTGCGAACGTAGCTTTTCGCCAATATCTACTTGTATGGAATACTTTATATTACAAGAAAAACAGTTTTTTTTTTTTTCTTAGATGGGTGGACGAGCTCACAGCCCGCCTGGTGCTAAGTGGTTACTGGAGCCCATAGAGATCTACAACGTAAATGCGCCACCCATCTTGAGATATAAGTTCTAAGGTCTCAAGTATAGTCAAACCGACTGCCCCACCTTTCAAACGGAAACGCATTACTGCT